TTTCTTATTAGAATAGGCTTACGTACATACATATGCCACTAGCGGTGTATGGTCGCTTGGAAGGGATTGTCCCTGTTTCTATCCGCTATTGACCAAAGACCACTGATGCAAAAAGCAGTAAACGCCTCGAGGAGAAGACTGTTTCTTCTCGCCGTGGGCCGTAATGGTAATGTGGGTCGAGCCCGGGGTGAGTAGCTCGTATCCACCTGATGCAGGCTTCGATAAGTACGTATTTACTTTGTTCCTGTCCGCTACTGACCAGGCCCACCGTAGCGTGAACGACCGTGCCCCAAGAAGAAGTATTTCTCTTCTCGCGTTGGGCAGGAGTATACGTGGTGATTGTATATAGCCCCCAGAAGGATCGACTTTATTCCTATCCGCTACTGACCAAGTTGGCTGTGGCAGAATAACCGTGCCCCAAGAAGAAGCCTGTCTCTTCTCGCATGCCTGTCTCTTCTCGTATTTGGCAGAACTATACATAGTGGTCGTATGGCCCCCAGAATTAGGATTGACTTTGTTCCTATCCACTATTGACCAAGGTCGTCGTGGCGGAATGACTGTGCCCGAGAAGAAATCTGTCTCTTCTCACGTTGGGCAGGACTAAACATGGTGGTCGTATGGCCCCCGGAAGGATTAACTCTGTTCCTATCCGCTATTGACCAAGTCCACCGTGGCGGAACGACTGTGCCCTGAGAAGAAAAACTGTTTCGTTTTCGCTATGGGCGGGACTACTCGTGGTAGTCCTGAGGCTAAGGCCTTGGGTAATAACCGGCCTCCCTTCACCCGTTAAGGACTAGACTAGATGACGAAAAACCACGCACAACAATAGTCTGAATACTGCGCCGATATAGGGTGCGTAAATCCTCCAGCCCCGTGTAGACAGATCGTGTCTACCCACTCCGGGCTGCTGGACAATTGGAACGCCGCACTACAGTCCAGAAATGAATCGAGATACGACGCACCACAAATGGCTCAAAACACACTTTTATTGTTTTAATATAATTGTAGAAATACTTGAAGAACTGTTGAAAACTCTACAGAATAGTTTTCTAGGAAAACTAATACTTAGCTACGTTGAATTGGATAGACTAAAAACAAGTCTATCTTGCCTGCGTCGCTAAGAGAAAAGAGGCAGATTCAATTTGGCGGCAAGGCCGCATTGCATCATGGGTGGGCGCCAAGAGGCGCATTATTGTGTGATTAAACGCTTAGCGAATTGGACTGCCAGCAAAGGGAAATATGCAAATGTAGTTGCTATTTGGGTAAGATGAACGAAGTAGACTAGGCTATATATAGCACAGTCAACATTGCTCTTGAGCTTTCTGGTAATGACGTCACAATGACATCATCAAGTATCATATTACAAGCTCCTCATCAGGGCAGGCACCCGCCGTTGGTTTCATATGGGATGGTGTCTCAGTCCTACAGCTGAACATTGAAGGTCTCACGAGCGCTAAAGTATCAGTTCTCGAGCGTATCATCACAGAACATAAGCCTACTGTTGTACTCCTTTAAGAGACACATACCAAGGAAAGCTCCAGACTCAAGATCCCTGGATTCTCCTTGGCCGCATTCACTAAGAGTGATATCCATGGTATTGCTAATTTTGTCAAGCATTCTGCAAAGTGGCACGAGCAAGGTACATCTGATGAAGACTCTGGTCTCGAATGCGCAGTCACTGAAGTTGAAGGTGTCACCATTGTGAATATCTACAAGCCACCTCCTCACCGCCTCAAACCGGATGACATTCCCCTCTTCCCGAAGCCGTGCATTTATGCAGGGGATTTCAACTGCCGAAGTACAACATGGGGTTACAGCTCCACCAATCCGGATGGAGACTCCCTAGAGGACTGGGCATCTGCCGCCGACATGCACCTCCTTTATGATCCGAAACAACCAGACAGTTTTCATCCCGGCCGCTGGAACACTACATCCAATCCTGACTTGGCCTTTGTAAACTTCGATGGCCCTGCACCCCAACGGACCGTTCTTGAGCCTTTCCCCAAGTCTCAACACAGGCCTTCCCTGGTCATTTCCGACTGCCCGACTTCTCTGATCCGTTCCAATCCAGTGAAGAGATGGAACTTTCGCAAGGCTGATTGGATCAAGTTCAGAAGCCTTGTGGACATAGGTCTCGTCAACTTACCTCTCAGTTCCTCATCAGACCTGGACCATACATACTCCTCCTTCTGTCAACTGCTTATCAGCGCAGCAAAGTCATCCATCCCCCGTGGCTTTCGTTCTCGCTACATCCCCACCTGGGATGAAGAGTGTACGACTTTGTACGATGACTTCCTTCAAGCTGAACTAGGTGGAGATGATGCAAGTAACAGGGCCTCTGCTTTGACTGACTGCCTTAACCGGAAACGCAAGGAGTGCTGGGATGAGACTGTCCGAGGTATTGATTTCACTCATTCCAGTCGACTTGCATGGAAGACCCTCAACCACCTTACTGGCAGGGGCCCCAAACCGACCAGATGCCACGTGACTGCTAATTCCATCGCCAAGCAACTCCTGACAAACGGACGGTTCAAGGACGCCAGCAAGGCCCACACACTCGCAGTGAAACGGGAAACCTCAGCCTTGTGGCGCGCACCCGGTGCCGATTGTCATCTCTCGGAGCCTTTCTCTGCAGAGGAAATCACCTCAGCAATCCACCTACTTAAGAGTGGCAAGGCCCAAGGACCAGACAACATCCCACCAGAGTTCCTGATCAACTGCGACCCTAAGTGCACAGAGTGGCTACGTGGTTTCTACTCTACATACTTAACCAGGCTGGCGATACCCAAGATCTGGCACAAAGCTACAATCATCGCCATTCCAAAGGCAAACAAGCCCGCTGATGATCCCAAGAATTATCGCCTTATCTCGCTCCTTTGTGTGCCTTTTAAGTTGCTGGAACGACTTCTCCTTGCTCGTCTTGAACACGTGGTTGACCCTCAACTCCCACACGAGCAGGCAGGTTTCCGGAAAGGACGCAGCTCAGTCCATCAAATCGTGCAGCTAACGGACGACATCGAGGAAGCCTTCAAAGCAGGCCACAAGGCGGGCGTTTTGCTGGTGGATCTCACAGCGGCTTATGACACAGTCTGGCATCAGGGTCTCATTCTGAAGCTTCTGCAAATGGTACCCGACCGCCACTTTGTCAGATTCATCTCAACCATCATCTCAAATCGCAGTTTCATCCTCAAGACTAGCGATGGACAAGCCAGTCGTCATCGCCGCCTTAAAAACGGCGTCCCTCAAGGCTCTGTTTTGGCACCGGCCCTCTTCAACATCTACATGAGTGATCTTCCCAAAACAACATCGCACCAGTATGGCTATGCTGACGATCTTGCTTTGCTGTATTCTGACGCAAACTGGAACAGGGTTGAGGAAGTCCTCTCAACAGACATCACAATGATCGCAGACTACTTGAGACTCTGGAGACTGAAGATCAGCATGGCCAAAACTACAGGAACAGCCTTCCATCTTGCAAATAAGCATGCCAATCGTCAACTCAAAGTCCAACTAGGAGAAACAACCTTGTCCTACACTCCTACACCAACATATCTGGGAGTCAAACTTGACAGACAGCTAACATACAGGCAACACCTGGAATCACTCCGAGCAAAAGTTTCATCAAGGTACAACCTCCTCCGCCGCCTTGCAGGGTCTACCTGGGTGCAAGCACTAACACATTAAGAACCAGTGCGCTTGCTCTAGTATACAGCGCCGCAGAACATGCCTCCCCTGTCTGGTGCAGAAGCACGCATACCAAGAAGCTGGATGTCATCCTCAAGGACACCATGAGGCTAATCACTGGATGCCTTCGACCTACACCCGTGAAGCTCCTCCCAGTGCTATCCGGCATTGCCCCCCCCCCCCCCCCCCCCCAGCGCTCCGCAGAGAACATCATATGCACGTGCTGGCAGAGAAGGCCTCCCAAGATGACAATCAAATTCTGCACGAGTGCATCAAGGATGCTGAAGATCTCGGCAGAAAACGCCTCAGCTCTCGTCACCCCTTCGGCCGTCATGCAGTTTCCCCTGAGTGTTCCAACTTCAACCTCAAGGAACTATGGGAAAGCAACTGGCAAGAGACTGAGAGACCAATCCAGTTTGCCACCCCTCCGAGTACCAAACTTCCACCAGGTGCTCACCTCCCCCGCAGAGATTGGGTCACTCTCAATTGCCTGCGCACCGGGGTTGGACGTCTCAATGCCAGCATGCACAGATGGGGCTTGAGCCCCTCCGCGGCCTGCGTCTGTGGTACCCCTGATCAGACTGCACACCACATCCTGTTTGAGTGCCCAGACCTCGGACCGCCTGGAGTTCTCCATATAGATCTTACCAACCCAACCCCGGAGACTGTCACATGGCTACATCAGCTGCATGAAATTGTATAGTGGTCAGCAAATCATACGAAAGAAGAAGAAGAGAAAGATTAAATCTATTAATCTTTAACGTGAGCCATGATGACCTCATCATGACGTCACTTCATTTTTTATCTATAACACATCTCGGTCTAGATAGTTACATAACAACTTTCAACCCAATCGGACCTGTCGTTCTGTGTCGTTCTTTAATATGACGTCACTTGTCACGTGATGACGTCATCATAACGTCACTTAAATTTTTATCTATAACACATCCTGGTTTAGGTACACAATGTACGTACCAAGTTTCAACCCAATCGGACCTGTCGTTATGGAGATATAGGCCTTCAAAATATGCACATATATTGTGACGTCACATGACGTCAATGTTCTGTACACAGCGGCAGGTGATGGTCTAAGTGTGTGCCAAGTATAAAGGCAATTGGATTGATTATAGGGGCCAAAGTGCCAGGGACAAAAAAAATAGACTAAAAAAGAAAGAAAAAAAAAAGATGAAAAATCTTAACCAAAACAAAGGCTGCTTTGGCTGGTTGCCGAAACAGCCAACAACCCACCACCATAAACATACCACCATAACATACCAGGTGATCAAAAATTTTCTTTTAATTGACGACAAAGTTACCTTGAAATAGTCTTGATGAACTTGTTTGCAGTGATCCATGCCTTGACGAAACCTGATCTTTGTGACTCAACTCATTGGCACTTTGCAGTGAGTGTATGTCACTTGAACTGAATGCTCTCTGACTGTACAACACTGTTGATTTGTCTGTATGCTTGTTGAAAGTACCTACAACATAGAAAGTAATTACAAGCATTCAAAATCAGTATGTGCATTACAGAAGCACATCCTTGCTAGACAAACCTGGCCAAACGAGCGTAAATTGTTATTAATAAATACTTTGGAGAGTTGATGGCTTCTGATTGGTCGAGACTCGATCACGTGGGGGTGCATTAACGTGTGATATAAAGAACGGCTTCAAACACAAGCAAACAAATGAGCCCCTGAACCAGCATTGATCGAGCATCATGGAAGCCAATGTTTGGCAAAATATGCAACAGTCCTACGGTAGCTCGTAATACAGTAGTACAGTAGTACACATGCACTCAACCGTCATTGCGTGAAGACTTGCACGCGCATATATATGCAACACAGTTGCTAGGCGCGCGAGGAATACTTCTCTCTACTGAGGATGTTTACGACGAAAGCATGGATCTACGATACATTTTCTGTAAACACGTCACACACTCACATATTTACTTTTTCTGAACCGAGCATCTTTGTAATTCTGGACACAAGGAATATGTAAACGAAATTCCAGCTTCCTCCGTCAGGTTAAAATATAAAAAAAATAATAGTAATTTGTTTCGCTATGACAGCAGAGCCCTGAACCGTCATCAAAAGTTGTTTGGGTAGTACAAGCCAGGGATCGAATATATATGTTGAACAGTGTGGGCTCTACATCCGACACCAGTGGGATCCCATATTGCTGTTGATATGATGATGAATCAGGATGCTTTGCATGACTGTCATGCTGTCAATCAACAAGGTACAATAAAAACCATTCATAAATACCTGAGACAGCTTACCTATTTCTATAATTGGTTGAGAGACCATCACTTGGGTGGATGTAAACCATTGTTAAAACACAACCAAGAAGTGTTTAAATCCGGCCAATAATAAATTTCTGCTTTCGAAAAAAATGTATTCTTCAAAGAACCAAGGGTGAGATCAGACAAAAATGAAAAATCCACGAACTTCGGTTGACATGTATTATACATGTATATGTATGTATTATTTCATTTGTTTATGGTGTAAATCAAGGACACACACGTACTTACTTGGTACTTGGTGGTTACCCTACTGAATACTCCAAGTGGAAGTCTAATGAGGAGGCCTTGGGGAAGTGGAACTAAATTAAATCCTTAAAGGTGTTGTGGTTTGGGGCGTCTATGGTGTCTTGAGGGAGCTTGTTGCATTTCCGGATAGTTTTGGGTAGGAATGACTGCATATAAATGTCTGTCCTTGCTGTGATTTCTGTGAACTGGTGGTTGTTAAGTCTACGAGCTCGTGCTGGTTTGGGGACTATGGATGATGGGTTAATGTGAACTATGTTGTGCATTATTTTGTAGAAGTAGGTAAGTTGGTTAACTTTCCTTCTCTGTTCCAGTGAAGACCAGCCTAGGATTGTCAACATGTCAGTCACACTGCTCAGTCTGGAATAATCTCTCATTACGAAACGAGCGGCCCTCCATTGCACTTTTTCCAGGGCTGTTATGTTCTTAGCTATGTGAGGGTTCCAAGCAATGCTGCCATATTATAGGTGTGGTCTGACTAGTGCTAAGTACAGCTTTTCTTTGACTGATCTGGATGCAGAATGAACATTTCTTTTGATGAAGTTCAATATACAACTTGCTTTGGAAGTGGCATGTTCTGTTTGACGATCCCAACTTAGGTTATTCTGAATGATTATTCCCAAATATGTGATGTTGGTTTTCTCTACGAGGTTGGATCCTAACATGGTGTAGTTAGTTTTGCCAGGGACCCGCTTCCTGGAGATTCGCATGATGTTACATTTGCTGGAGTTAAATTTCATTCCCCAGGTTTGCACCCAGTTAGCCAAGTTTTCCAGGTCTTTTTGGAACATCAATTCATCAGTTGATGAGCAGATCTTCCGGTATAACAGGCAGTCGTCGGCGAAAAGGCGAGTTGTGCCAGTCACTGATTTGCTAATGTCGTCGATGAAAAGTAAAAACATGCGGGGGCCAAGCATAGTGCCTTGTGGTATGCCACTGTCAACACTTTGCCATTTCAAAGATTTTCCATTTACCACAACTCTTTGTGACCTGTTGGTTAAGAATTCCTTGATCCCATCTCTGTGTTTTTCCCCGTAGTAGTCTAATTTTTGGACCAGTTTTTGATGAGAAACTACATCGAATGCTTTGGAGAAGTCGAGTACTGCCATGTCTGTGGTGATTTGATTATCGTAAATGTAGGAGATGTCATCTAGAGTTGTTACGAGTTGGGATTCGCCTTTACGAAAAGCATGTAGGTTTTCGTTCAGGATGTCGTGTTCCTGGAGGTGTTTCATTAATTGGCTATCAATGATGTGCTCTAATAACTTGGAGCAAACAGAGGTCAACGACACAGGTCTGTAGTTTGCCGGGTCTGCACAAGAGCCTCTCTTAAAAATGGGTGTTACGTTGGCTTTCTTCCAATCAGATGGTAGAGAACCCAGGTCAAGTGATTTTTGGAATATGGATACGAGTACTGGGGCAACTTCATCGACAACCAGTTTCAAGATTTTGTTTGAGATATTGTCAGGACCGATGGCTTTGGCGGTATTTAGCAACGTCAGTAATTTGAGGACTCCGCAAACAGACACAGTGATGTTTGTCAAGTCTTGGTAGGGACTCGGCGGTAGAACTGGTTGTGCATCGGTGTCATCCCTGCTGAAAACACTATACAGAATTAGTCTTGTGGGGTTTCAGCTTTTTCTTGGTCAGATATAATATTTTTCCCGTTGAGTTTTAGAACCTGAACCCCTGTGTCGTCTTTACGAGTGCTGTTTACGTAGCGCCAGAACTTCCGGAGGTTATCTGTAGATGTAGTTTTTTGTAAATGTGTGCATTTAGCCTTTCGGATTCACTTGCTTTTGCAAAAGTTTGAAATTTTCCCAGTCTGATTGTAGACCGCTTGTTACTGCTTTCACATAACTGCGCTCTTTCTTCCTGCAGCGACGGATAAGGACAGTAGTGAGCCATGAGGGTCTAGGATGTCCCTGGACTGTTTTTTTTTTGGTGGTACTAAGTTGTTGTTTTTTCATTTTGTCAGCCCGTCCGTAAAAGTACTCCAATTTGCTTCAACTGTTCTGGTTTCTGGAGACGACTGCATGAATTCGGTCTGAAGCTCGAGGAAAGATTTTTTCAGCTTGGATTCATCCACGTCATTCCACTTGATGATGGTCCTTGGGGGCTTGACGGAGCAAGGTGGGGTGATGTTTATGTCGGCTAACACTGTTGCATGATCACTAATTCCGGAGTTGCTGTAAACATTACAAACCAGAGTTGGGCGTGTGGTGAAGAGCAAATCTAAGATGTTATCTGTTCCTGTAACTGGGTCTCTCCTTGTAGTAAAATTTACCTTTTGTTCGAGTTTGTAGTCTGCGACATCCTCGATTAGAAAACATGTACAAAACCAATGAGAGCTGTTGCAAAAAAGTATGAACAGAGGAAAAGGAAAGACGAACAATAGAAAATCCTCGATTTACACCACAAACAAACGTGTGTACATGTACGTGTAGGTACATGTATCATGTGTACAGATTATGTACGTGTGTCCCGTATAAAGGGCATGTACATTTTATGTACCGTATTTGCTGTAATGTTTGCAAATTTTGTCACTTCAGTAAAGAACAAAAATGGGGGAAGATGAGGAAAACCATGTCTGGTCATTCAATAATCCATACTTGATTATCAATAATGTCTTTTTCTGTGTGTAATATTATTACTTTTGCATGTTTGCATAATTGCAGAGAGAAATAAACGAATCACAAAAAAATATTAAGTGCTCAGTTATACTTTCTTACTTTATAAACTTCCAGGCTTACAAACATGCCAAAATTCTTTTTCTGCAGTGGTGGCTATTTTTCAAAGCCCTACTGCAGTTCAAACTGATGTCCATCCACAGTGACACTTTATTACCAGTTCTTCCAACCATACTCTTAAATTCCTTGATCAAAATCTCGCACTGATAGGTCTCATCCCGGCGATCATCACTGAAAAGTATTCAGTACACATCAACACGCGATATACATGTTTACAAACACCAGGTGCACGCACCAATGAAAATTATTTTGAGTCTAGTCCTCAAGTACTCCACTACGCACACCGCATTGATATCTATCAGGTACTTATACGCATTGCTTATTAGACTTGTCACCAGTTCATCCATTATCGTAAATTAGGGCCTATATTTGGCCAGAAGTTTTCAGGCGATATTACGGAAACAGAAAACGCTGGAAATCCGGAATCCAGCAGACTTTTGGCCAAAATCCGGAAATCCAGAAAAATCCGGAGAAATCTCACCCCCGAAAGAATGTAGGTTTTGAAGTTTGAAAAAAAAAATGATGAAGCAACTTATTTGACATGTGTTTACTTAAATTCATCTAAGAGGAAGGAAATGGCTTGATAAAGAGACTAAAATGTCACAGGAAAATATTGTCTACTCAGACCAGCTCGCTTGCACATAATATAGTAATCCCGTGCATAGCTCCTTTAATGTACATGCACTGCAGCAACCACTACACGTACATGTACATATACAACTAGCTGTAGTGTACACTGTGCACATGTATGAAGTCACACACTCACAATCACACACAAGTAGCTGGGCTTGTTGCCTACAAAATACACTGCAACAACCACAGCTTAAATCACTGACCCTTGAGTGCGTCCGATTAGCTCACGCAGGACGACTCGGGTTAGCCCCGTGCCATTCGATTAGCTTTGATGTCATTCTGGAACTCACCTGGGTCAGCCATCACAGATCCTGCTCGTGGAGCAGAGTCCATGGTAGAAATATGTCACATATGCATACGATGTTCATGCCATGAAACGGACAAATATGGCAGCTAGCTCAAGCGGGCCAAAAAATCAACATTATTTGTAGTCTGAACATGATTTATTGAGGTCATTGCTCCTTAAGAGGCTACAATTCCAATCAGACGTTGTTAATTTTGCAATTGACAGAAAAGCAGTAAATCTCAAAGTATATGACTTGCAGTCTGAAAGGGCGTTTTGTCAGTTTGCTACAGCCGTGGCTACTGACGTCCATGTAAGGATCACAGGTGGCACGTTTGAGCATTCGATTAGCCCAGCTCTCGTGGCTATCCTGTCTGCCTTTACCCGAGTCGATCCGAGTGAGCTACTTGAGCCACTATACAATCAGTAATGAGGGCCATCATTATAAAGTTGCACTTGTAAAATTCAGCAAATTAAAGGAAATATACATCATTTGCTTTTACTATAATTTTCAGAAATGGATGGAATTGGGGGGTTGGAAATATATAGCAAATATAGTTACACTGACTTTTTTGAGGTTTTGGGTTCAAAAATGCCATAAAAACCAAGAAAAACAATCATTTTCCTGTAGTCTGGTTCCCTGACTCCATATAAGAAGAAACAGAGCAGTTTACATACATTGGGGAATTGTAAGGTCAGGGAACCAGTCTAGCTGGCTCGTACCCGTTCATAGGTTTGTAATCGATTGCAAACAAGTGCGATGGTCAATTGGGGCCAGTATTTGAAAAAAAACCCAGTTTTTTGCAACGCTGATCGGCCGATCAGCGTTGGAAATTGATACAAAAATACCACTTTTCTTGAAAATGACAGTATACCAGGTGCCATGATTTTACAGGATGCTTTACACTGTCATTCACTAACAGTCCAGCAAGGTATTTCAAAATGATTTGTTAGTTTTATTTTTTGATGTTTGCAAATGTTGTATTTTCCCTTTAAAAACAATAACAATGAATATGGCAAAAAAATGAAAATATAAAAAACTCTTTTTAAAACAAACAGTTCAGGTAAAAAAATAACAACGTTAATTTATGAAAATAACAAAAGCACAAGATTGTTATTTTATGTTTAATTACCTGCATATGCTTCATTTTCTGAATCATCAAGTGACTCTGAATCAAAGCCACATGACTTCGTAAACTGAGTTTGTCTCCTCACATGTTTGCTGTGAAGGTCGATAGAAGAAGAGAAACCTGCAAATTGTAAAATAAAAAAGTCACTTGAACTATACTGCAAATACGTTCACACATATATCAGCATAACACTGTGGGTTAACCTAAACAAAATATTAAAGACCTTTTAAAGGCCAAAAAAAAAATAAGTCGGTCTCTGGTCAGCGCGCGCGTCAACTTTAATCATGCGCATCAATCTTTTTTTTTCCAAAATGTTCCGCGGTAGCTCCAACAGCGCCCTCTATTGCCGCACCTCCTCATTTTTTTTTACCAAAGAGCACCAAGGAATGGGAAATTGCACCAAGGCAAATGATCGAGAGCACCAAGGCAAATTATGGAGGACACCAATGTACACGAGGACACCAAATAGCAAAATAGTACCCCACCTTGTCTGTACAATCCAAGCTTGAAGAAAAAGAAAAAAAATTCCAGAACTTTGGTCTGACCACAGACGGAATATTTATTTTTTTTGGCCTAAGAATGAATATGTAAAAATTCAATTTTATTACGATCAATTCACAATTTGACACATGCAGGCCCGTCACCAGGGGGAGGAGGGGGAGGGGGGGGGGGGGCTGGTGGGGCCGGGCGGCCCTTGGTGAGCAATTGGGTCCCCCAATGGCAAAAGCCATACAACTGTATTTTTAATGGTAGTGGGGCCCCCTAGTTGGTACTATGACCCCCTGGTGCTCGGTTGTGGCGCTGCACCGGCTTGACCTGGAACTAAGCGCACTACAAATTCAAGTGCCATTTAATGGTAATATACAACATTGCTTTTGTGGTATTTTTCAGAAAGGGATGGATTTGGAGGTTATTATTTTTTAGCAACAATTGTTAAACTGACCTGTTTAAAGTTCTGTGTTTATAGGTGCTGGAAAAACCAAGAAAAACTAGAACGGCGAAGCCGCCATGGCTCGCTGTCCAAGGCAGGAAGGGAGGCTGAAGGTAGGGTTGGGGATGGGCATGATGGAAGGGGATCAGGATTCTTGTTGATGTGCCTAGGTGTAGGGGTCACTTTTTAAATGTCAACATAAAAAGTCAACAGATTACCTAATAAATACATGTGTATATAGGTTAGCCGTCACTGTATTATGGGGGAGTTTTCCATTGTTAGGGTAATTAGGACCCAGTTGTGGATTTTTGCAGCCCCAACAGTGTCTTCTGCTCCCCATACTTGTATTACCATGGGAAAACTCTTGTGTAGTCGCCACAAATGCAGAACAAGAATGGGTATACATGTACATGTAGACACAGCACCATCACCACCTCCCCCAAACCTTACCCCATCCCAAAACCTTACCCCATCCCCAACCCTCCCACTCCCCCACCCAACCCCCTACCCACACCCATTCCATCCTCCCCTAACCATCCCCAACCTATCACCTACACATCCCAACCCCACCCAAACTCCAATCCCTATCTCCTTCCCCCTCCCCTGACCCGTACCCTCCCCTACCCCAACCCCCTACATCCACCTACCCTATCTTCCCTTATCTGTCCTTACCCACCCTACACATCCCCATCCTAACCCTTACTCGAATTCCAATATCCCGCTCACCCCATTCCCCCACCCATACATCCCCACCTTACCCCATGTAACCCGTACTCTGATCCCTATATACTGCCCCTCCCCTTATCCAACCCCTACAACAACCCATCCCTACCCATCCCTACACATCCCCAACCCAACCCCTACTCCGATCCTACCGGTATATCCTGCCCCCTGCCCAACCCCCTCCTAACCCAACCCCTACATCCATGCCCATTCTCTCCCTACCTGTCTCCCCCTACCTGTCTCCCCCTACCTGTCTCTCCCTACCTGTTCCCACCCCACCCCTACAAATCCCCACCCCACCCAAACCCAGTATTCCAACCCCTCTCCCCACCCCAACCCACCCCACCCATCCTAGCTCCCCTACTCATCCTACTCACACAAACCCTAACTCCATCCCTATCCCCAACCCACCCCACCCCACCCTCCCCTACCCCATCCCTACTCCAACCCCATCAACTAAAAGATCAAACCAGAAGCTCATGCACATCCCCAAAATGCATAGTGTACATGTTATACCGGTATACACACATGTACATGTTATACCAGTATACATGTACATGTAACAATTAAAAACTTTAACATTTCCTTGAATTAAAGTTCCTCAATAAAATCATAAAATTTACTGCAATGATATGAACCTAACTGAAGTTATAAAGATGATACATGACAACTGCATTTAATTTTTTTTCCCGAAGTTAACTAGAACCAAAAACTTCAACATTTTAATCTGAACGCGGACAGCCGGACGGACGGACGGACGTTCTAGCCGAACGTCCGCCCGGCCGTTCTAGCCAGACGGACTTGTGGGGTGATAGCATTGTGTTCCCATTGTCCCTTTTTCTAAAGATTCCCTTCTGGGGTGATGTTTTTCCATTGTGTAAAAAGTGGGGTGATGTGTCCTGAAAGGAACATCACCCCACAAGGGTGGTCTGGTCAGAACGGACAGACGGACGGAAATTGGTATTACATAGACTCGCATCTGCTTCGCAGCTCGCCAAAAATGCTATTCTTGTAGTTTGGTTCCCTGACCCTACTTCTCGCGAAACAAAGCAATTATAGATGTCAGGGAATTGTGAGGTCAGAGAACCAGACTAGTTGCCTCGCACCCATTCAAGTATACACCTGGTATGAAACCTTGTCGCCCCCCAGTCGCCCCCCACTGAGATTTTGAGTTTCTAAACAAATTATCATTGATCTACATGACGCCCCCCCATGAAATGTTCCAGCCCCCCCAGCCCCCCCCCCCCCCACTGAAAAATTCGTAACCACATAGCACTTCGGCCTTACATGAGATTGCACCTGCCACCGGTATTTCTTCGTCACACTTGAGAGAGTCCTTTGTCAAAAGGATGAATCTCCCTATATAAGTGAGCCCTGCGATCCATGCCTCAGTGCATTTTTGTGACTGGTATAACTTCGTATAGCAGCAATGTCCACGCATCTCTCCGCGGACATTTTGAGTCTACTCGACGGTCCTTCGGACCTTGAGTGCAGTGGTGTTGTGGCACACGCCGACCCACTCCCGTCTACATGTACTTCGCTCTCTGCCGCCGGTGGGAATCCACCGGTCGTTAAGGCCAAGGCGAAGTCAAAGAAATCAACAAGATCCTCGGACGAGGTCACCAGACAAGAGTTTGCGTCTCTTCAAGACAAGATTTCAACGATGGCAGACGCAATGCAAACTCTCCAGTCTACAGTCTTGGCTTCGTTGGGGAACCCGCCAACGAAGAAACAGAAAGTCGACCATGCAGTAGCAGACCAAGCAGCAAGCTCATCGAGCGACGGGTCGTTTGCAACGGGCCAGCTAATCGACAACCTTCTCAAACCCGATGCCGATGATAATTCATCAACCGGGGTACTCACCGCAGTAGAACAGTTCTACTCTGGAGAAGATTCTGGGAACAAGGTTGACGAGAAACTAGCGGGCGTCATCAGCAAACTACTCCGCAAGAAAACATCAGAAGAGAAGGTAGCAGAGAAACTTAATAGTTTCAAGCGACCATCTAACATTCCAGAAATGGATGTTACCAGAGTTAATCCAGAAATCTGGAATTCTCTGCAGTCCAAGACAAGATCAATGGACATCAAACTACAAAAGGTTGAACATGCAGCACTTGAAAGGTATGGTGCCCATTGTGTCATGCATTGAGACTCTAATGAGTAGCAAGAGCGTGGATCACAAAACGCTTGTGACTAATCTACTGGATTCAATGGCTATAATTGGCCATACCGTCACCCAGCTTAATTTCAGGCGTAGAGAGCTTATCAAGCCCGATTTAAACCAGCAGTATTCGTCTCTTTGTTCTGCACAAGTGCCCGTAACCGGGCTCTTGTTTGGGGATGATTTATCCAAACAGTGCAAAGATATTCAAGAAACGAATAAACTAGGCCAAAAATTTGGCCAGCGTTCGAGTTCGTCTGCTGCTCCGAAATCGGATAGAGCAAGACAAAGGGGAAATGCTAAGACTTTCCACAGTCCGGCAGCAGTCCGATGCCAAGTAAAATCGGTGAGTGAGCACCAATGTGATAACACTCAGGTTGTGGGGTTATTGGCAGGTAAACTCGCAAATCATATAGCCAAATGGCGCGAGATTACATCTGATAATTGGGTGCTTGATGCTATTCAGCACTACCATATTGAACTCATTAAAATGCCATACCAAATTCGCATTCCAAGGGAATTGCGTTTTGAAACCCATGAGGCTGAAATTATAGCCACAGAAATTGCCAAAATGCTCGAAAAAGGAGCTATAGTGCAAACGAATCATACTGATGGTGAATTTATTTCAAATATTTTCATCAGACCTAAAAAGGATGGTTCTTTCCGACCCATTATAAATCTTAAGGGTCTTAATACGTTTGTGGCGTATTTCCATTTCAAAATGGAGACTATCCACACAGCAATTCAGCTGATACGGCCTCAATGTTATATGGCCTCTATAGATCTTAAGGATGCATATTTTGCAGTACCTATAGCACTTGAGCATAGGAAATATCTGCGATTCACTTGGCGAAATATGGTATACGAGTTTACCTGCCTGCCCTTTGGTTTAGCATGTGCACCACGTGTGTTCACTAAAGTAATGAAACCACTTATTGCCTCTTTGAGGTTAAGGGGCTATGAATCGTGTGATTATATTGATGACTCACTTCTTGTCGGCAGAACATTTCAGGAATGCATTGAAAATGTTCAAGCCAGAACTTCCCTTACTATGAGTTTAGGGTTTACAATCAATTACAAGAAGTCAATTTTAACTCCCACCAAACAAATTGATTTTTTTGGATTTCATTTGGATTCAGATCTCATGAAGATTTCTATTCCACAGTTAAAGGTAGAAAATACCATTGCTTCAATCAGCAAACTTTTACGACAACAGTCTCCGACAATACGAGACGTCGCAAGAGTAATTGGTCTTTTGGTTTCGTGCGAGTTAGCAGTACCATACGGACCTCTGTTCAGAAGAAC